TGAGCAGGGAGCCCGATGCGGGACTCGATCCAGGGACTCCAGGATCATGACCTGAGCCGAAGGCAGTCGCTTAACCAACTGAGCCACCCAGGCGCCCTCATTTCTGTTACATATTATGTGGGCATACAATTATTTATAGTATTCCCTTATATTTGTTTTTATTTCTTTAAGGTCACTAGTAATTCTCTGCTTTCATTTCTGATTTTAGTAGTTTGAGTCTTTTTTTTCCTTCATTGTAATAGCAAAATGTTGTTATATTGTTGAAACCAACCTTTGTTTCACTGATTTTTTTCCACCAGTGTTTTTCTGTTTTCTTTTATCTTTGCTCTGATCTTTATTGTTTCCTTCCTTCTGCTTGTTTTGAGTTTAATGTGCTCCTTTCTTATTTCTTAAGGTTTAAGGTTGGGTCATTGCTTTGAGATGTTTCTTCTTCTTCTTCTTCTTCTTCTTCTTCTTTTTTTTTTTAGATTTATTTACTTATTTTAGAGAGAGAGCCATGTGTGAACAGGCAGAGGGAGAGAGAGAATCCTCAAGCAGACTCCCCTTTGAGCACAGAGCCTGATGTGGGGCTCAATCCCAGGACCCTGTGATCATGACCTGAACTGAAATCAAGAGCTGGCTGCTTAACTGACTGAGCCACCCAGGTGCCCCTCTTCTTTTTTAATAAATGCATTTTAATGCTATAAATTTACCTATCAGTAAGCTTTTGCTGCATCCCCTAAATTTTGATACGTTTTGTTTTTGTTTTGAGTGATCTCTAAGAATTTTCTGTTTCCTCTTGTGATTTCTTTTTGACCCATTGGTTATTTAGAAATGTGTTGTTGAATTTTCACCTATTTGTGAATGTCCCAGGTGCTTTTTGCTGCTGATTTGTGCCTAATTCCATCATATTTGGAGAACATATTTTGTATGATTCAGTCCTCTTAAATTTATTGAGGTTTGGTTTATGGGCTAACATGTAGCCTATCTTGTATAATCTTCTATATGTACTTGACAAGAAAGTATGTTCTGCTTATTTTGGGTGGAGTATCATAGAGATGTCTTTTTTTTTTTTTTTAAAGATTTTATTTATTTCCAGAGAGAGAGTGTGAGAGTGAGAGCACAAGCAGGGGGAGCGGCAGGCAGAGGGAGAAACAGGCTCCCCGCTGGACAAGGAAACCAATGCACGGCTCGACCCCAGGACACTGGGATCATGACCTGAGCTGAAGGCAGACACTTAACTGACTGAGCCACGCATTCGTCCCCACAGAGATGTCTTTACCTTTATTTGTTATTTTCACTGAGTACACATTCTTACACATATTTTTGAAATCATGAGTTCTAATTGCTTCTAATTCCAGTTTCTCCAAAGAAGGTTCCTTCTTGTTTACTTTCATTCCATGAAATTATCTGTTGTTCTGTAGCAAGAACCCTGGCTCTTCACAACATCAACATATTTACTCATTTGCTCAATCTAATAATACATCTACAGTAGTTTCTTAATTGCTTTGCTCATACCATAACAAACTTTTAAATAGTTCAGGATTTGTTTGCGGTACTTCTCCTTTCTTACTTACCCTACCAGTGACTAATGATATATAATCAAATGCTGTTTTTTGTTTTTTTGTTTTAAGTTATTTGGATTAGTTATTTCCTGCTGTTCTTCTATACAGTGTGGTTAGGGTAGTTGTATGCAGTATAAATAGGTTCATTTGTTAGTTTGTTTTTTAGTTGTGTTTTTTTTTTTTTAAGATTTTATTTATTTATTTGACAGAGACATCGCGAGAGAGGGAACACAAGCAGGGGGAGTGGGAGAGGGAGAAGCAGGCTTCCCGCTGAGCAGGGAGCCCAAAGCAGGGCTCAATCCCAGGACCCTGGGATCATGACCCAAGCCTAAGGCAGACGCTTAATAACTGAACCACCCAGACACCCCTATTGTTTTTGTTTTTGTTTTTTTCTTTCCATTCTTACTGATTTAATTGTATTATCATTTAATATAATATATATTACTACCTAATAATACATCCTGTTTCATCACATTATATCTGTTATTAAAGTTAAAATTATGCAAAAGGTGGGGCGTCTGGGTGGCTCAGTTGTTAAGCGTCTGCCTTTGGCTCAGGTCATGGTCCCAGAGTGCTGGGATGGGCCCGCATCGAGCCCCGCATCGGGCTCCCTGCTCTGCAGGGAGCCTGCTTCTCCCTTTCCCACTCCCCCTGCTTGTGTTCCCTCTCTTGCTGTTTCTCTCTGTCAAATAAATAAATAAAATCTTAAACAAAAAATTATGCAAAAGGCATATCAAAAGTGTCACTCTCATACATACTCCTTCTCGAGTTGGAGACTAATAAACTTTGGATTTGTTTTATTTATCTTGCTTGGGATTCATTTGAGTTCTTGATACTATGCTTGTCTTTAATTGGTTTCCTAAATTCTCAGTCATTATCTTTTCATATATTGTCCCTACTCTATTGTCTTTATCCTCTCCTTCTGAATTCTGATAAACATACGTTAGACGTTAGCACTATGTCCTCTCTTCTCTCATTCTTTCTCTTGTATTTTCCGTCTTTTTTTCTCCGTGTTACATTCTCGAAGGTATTTCAGACCTACCTTTTAGTTTACTAATTCTCTTTTTTAGTTGGGTCAGAGTTTCATTTTGGAATCTTTTATTAAATATGCTGTGTTACTTTTTATAGTTTCCAGTTATTATAGGAAACATTTAAATCTTAAAGAACTTTGGTTTAAGAGTCAAGACCTGAAGTACATCCTGGCTCTATTTCCAACTCCCTCCTTTCAAGGCTTTTTAAAAGAGAATTTTAATTGTTAATGCATCTATTCAGAAGTTAAACCATTTCAGTTCAATATGATAATCCCAAATTTTAATCTCTTAATTATTTTTTAACAGTGTTTAAAAATATTTAGGTGACATCCAAGTAAATTCTTACTGTATAATATTCAGGAGTACAGAAATACAGACTGAAATGTCTGTTCAGTCCCTCTTCATTTACCTTTTCACCCTCACTCCTCTCTCTTAGGTGATTAGTAGTTTGGAGATCATCTTTATAGTCCCTTCTCAATACATTTTATTTATTTATGATTTATTTATTTAGATACTTCCTCAACTCTGTATTTCATTAACTCTGAACTGAGTCTAGGTTTTTTCATACATCATAATGTCTGCTATGCTGCTCTTCATTCATAGTTACTCTTCTGTTGAAATGTTATCCACTCACTCTTTTCCTTTTAGCCTGATTAATACCTGCTAATCCTTTAGCATGGTGGTTAAGAGCCTGGGCCTTAGGTTAGCATTTTGCATTATTCCATTTAATTTCGTTTTCTTCTTTTTCTTTTTTTTTTTAAGATTTATTTATCTGAGAGAGAGCAGGAGAGAGAGAGAGCAGGGGGAGGGGCAAAGAGAGAGGGAGAAGCAGACTCCCTGTTGAGCAGGGAGATGGTCCTGAGGCTCCATCCCAGGACCCTGGGATCATGACCTGAGCTGAAGGCAGAGGCTTAACTGACTGAGCCACCCAGGTGCCCTGCACATTGTCAGTTTAAAAAAACAACTTGGGCATTTTGCCCTTCAGTAAGACTCAGCCAAGAGAATATAGATGCATCTCTCTGTTGTACATATCTCTAATCCTATAATTACACACTGTTTTTAAGCTTTGTGAGTGGGTCTCCTCCATTAGACTTCGAACACCTTAAAATCAAGGACTGCCATGTTCATCTTTGTATTATAGGTACCAGACACATAGAGATTCAGTGAATATTTCTTGACTATATGAATGGAGTTTGAAAGATCTAATCATCTCAGTGCTTTATCATTTGCATAGGAAGCTCATGTAAATGTGTATACCCTTTGTTCAAGTGAGAATTGTTTTCCTTTCTCTTTGCAAGTAGTAAAGCCTTAAACTAGTAATTACATTTATTTCCACCACACTGAGCCACATACTGAAAATCCCGGGAAGCCATGGGAAATTGGCAGTTTTAAGCATTATTCTTCCATATTGTTTGTATTCTGTATTTATGGAATTTGGGTTGAGGAGAGTCTGTGAAAGTCCTTCATCTTCATGTACAATTTGAAAACGGGATTTTTATTTATTTTTTTTCTATTTTTAAAGATTTTTATTTATTTATTTGACAGAGAGACACAGCGAGAGAGGGAACACAAGCAGGGGGACTGGGAGAGGGAGAAGCAGGCTTCCCGCGGAGCAGGGAGCCCGATGCGGGGCTCGATCCCAGGACCCTGGGATCATGACCTGAGCTGAAGGCAGACACTTAATGACTGAGCCACCCAGGCACCCCGAGAACGGGATTTTTAAAAAAGTATTTCCCAAGAGATGTTTTGGTGAGATAATGCTTGACAAGCAACCCAGTTGCTTTCCTGTACCCCCACATCTGAAGTTATAATAGTTCTTTGAGTACTCAAAAATGACAGACAACAACCCTACCAGATGTTACCTGTCTTCTGTAGATAAAAAATATGAGGTTTAGGGTAAGTAACTTATTCAAGGTTCCAGAGCCAGAAAGTGGAGAAGCTAGAATTTAAACCTAGTTGCTCCAGGGCTCATTCTCCTTCCATTATACAGTACTGCTTTTCTAAATAAACTGAAAATAATTCTAGCTTGAAATTTATAGTATTTAGATAGTGCTTTATTTTAAAAAAAATTTTTATTCAAGTATACTTAACGTACAGTGTTATTTTTGTTTCAGATATACTGCTTTTAGTTATGGTAACTACACATTTTAATAGCTAATAGAAACCTTATTAGTAAAATATTTAGGTGATATTTAAAGAGAATTTTTTTAATTCAAAGTTTTAATTCGTGTAGTATTTCTTTAAGGTATGTATATTTTTAATTTGAATCACCATTAGCAGGATATACTTGTCATTTCAGTGTTCTTAGACTTTAGCACACTTGTTTATTTTTCCCCTTGTTGCATAATCCCTATACATTATATTGATCAGGAGGTAAGAATGTTGCAGATGTTTTTCTTTCAAACTTCCAACTTGCTTTGAGATTTGGAATTAACCTTTAGAATGTTCTGGATTTATCCCGCATATGCCAGAGATCTGTAAATTTCTTTCCACATGAGCTGAAATTTTCAGGCAATTGAGTAAAATATTTGTGAACACAGATGTTTTCTTTAAAAGCAGTTAATGATCAGAAAAAAAGACCTCAGTGTGGAAATACTTTATGTTCCTCCTGTAATATGATCGGTATATAAATACTTCCTTCTTCTGTAGTTCACATTGTTCATTTTCTAAGGGAGGAAATAACTTAATTGAGAATTAAAACATAGTATTATTTATCCTGTTGATTTTTTTTTCCCCTCTCCCAGAGTAAACTAAAAATGATTTGGACTGACTAGGGCCGCTCCATTCTGTGAAACTCACATTGTTTGCGTACTGTTGGCAGGCCTCATTAGGGGGTAAATTTGCTTTTTCTGTGTGTTTGCCAGTAACGATTCCTGTCTCTTAGGGGAACTTGCCATTTGGATTGTCGCCTTTCTAAACTGGCCAGTCTT